TTGAACATCCATCGATTCTGAGTCGCCGCCGGCGTTCAACGCTGAACTCCGGCGGCGGGGTCGCCGCTGGTCGACACGACACGAACCTACCGTATGCCTGGCAAATTTGGGCGTGGCTTCATGGGGGGGTCACAAATAGGGGGGTCAGAAACGGTCCCCTTTCGTGCCCCTTTCGGGCCCCTCCGGAGCCCCAGGGGGCTCGTTTAGGCACCGTTTGGGTACCTTTTCGGACCACCCTCGCCACCCCCCCATTTATGACCCCCCTATTACGCAACGCCCAACAAATGACGCTCCAGCCACCGCCGGGCACAGCCGGCGCGCCAAAGCGAGGGCGCGCCCGCAGGGCACGGAGGGGCCCTCCCGGCCACGGCGGGCCTCGGCCACGGCCGGGCTCCCCGGCCCGGACCCCTGCCGAGTCCAGAGGGGTCCTCCTTTCGAGCGCCTCCTCTTCCTCCTCCTCCTCATGGTCCTGTTCCTCCTCCTCCTCCTCCTCCTCCTCCTCCTCCTCCTTTGCCTGTTCCTGCTCCTCCACCTCCTCCTCCTCCTGAGTCCAGAGTGGTCCTCCTTTCATCGCCTCCTCCTCCTCCTTTTCCATTTCATGATTTTCCTCCTCCTTTTCCTTTCCTTTTCCTCCTCCTCCTCCTCCTCCTCACGTCCGCCTCCTCCTCATCCTCCCCGTGCTGAGTCCAGAAACGTCCTCCTTTTGTTCAGCGCCTTGGCTGTACATGCAGAAAGGAGCTATGCACCACCACCGTGCCAGGCCAGGGCCGTGCTGGGCCCTAGGATGGTGTATACGCCCACCTGGCCCAGGCCAGGAGGGTCTATACACCATCCTGGGGCCCAGGATGGCCCTGGCCTGGTACGGTGGTGGTGTGTAGATGCCTTCGTCGGAGCTGTGTATAGCTCGTTTTCGGCGGCGAGCGAGGGGGGAAGTGAGAAGGGGCGGGCCTTCTCAGAAAGGCTCGGATGTCCCCCGGCGGCCTTTCGAGAAGTGTTCTAAACCTTCCCTGAAAACGCAGAAAACCTCTCAGACGGCGCGAGGTCTTCTCAGAAGTCCCGCCACCCTCCGAGAAGGCCTTCTCCTTCTCCCTTTCCCGCCTCGCTTGCCGCCGGCGTTTGCCCATCGGACCGAGCGTGTGCTGGGGCCGTCAGGCAGGCAGGCAGGCATGGGAACATCCAAGGGTACCCTTAGGTCGGGCATGTCCCCCTACATGCGGATCTTGGTCGAAAAAAATGAATAGCCCAAAACTAGCCCCCCCCCCAGGAAAAATACGGGAAACATTCTTCTATGCTTGGACATTCCTCCTGTAGAGGGGCATGCCCGACGTAAGGGTACCCTCCCCAGGGTGCAGAAGAACATCCAACAGACACGACGAGCATGAAGTCGGCGGCGCGCACGACAAGGACGCAGGGGAAAGGGGAAGGCTTCTTAGCAGGAGGCTGCTTCTTACAAGGCGCCGCGGCTTCTGGGAAGCAGGGGTGCTTCTAAGAAGCCTTCCCCCCTCCCCTACCGCCCCCCCCTGCGCGTGACTGCATGAAGGTACCATCCCGAAATCGACCTCGATCTGACAAGCGCGCTTCACTACTCGACAAATAGCTGCTCGCAGATGGCCTGGATTCCTTTTGGACGCCCGAGATGGGTACGGAAAAAATGAATACAATGCCCAACAGCAAGTGTTGTCCAAAACCAACAGCGGCCGCTGTTGGACAGGCGGCCTTCTGTTTCAAATGGACACAGGCCGCGGCGGCGAGGACAGCGAGTCCGGTTCAAAATGAACAGGAACTGCTGCTGAGCTTTGTGCCCATCCTTTCCCTGCCCATCTCGTTCGTGCACATGGATCCGCCGCGGGGGATCCACGATGAGTTACCTCGTAGCAGACACGTGCTGTTCGGACGTCTGCAGGTGGGCACCCTGCGAGCAAAGGGAACGCGTCCGGTGAGATCTTATAGACCCCGGCCCGACTGCAGGCACCCGGCGAGCAAGCCTCTGAGACCTGCCGGCCCGCGAGCACGTGGGGGCGGGCCGCCGCTGGGGGGGGCTCCCCGCGGGCCCCAGCGGGGGGGCCGCAGCCGCGCCGCGGAGCGGGCGGAGGCCCCCCATTGGAGATCTACAGTCGAGCCTAGGCCAAAAGGACGTCCCTCAAGCAGAGCCCTCCTCCTCCTCCTCCTCCTCCTCCTCCTCCTCCTCCTCCTCCTCCTGCTGCTGCTCCTGCTGCTCCTCTTCCTCCTCCTCCTCCTCCTCCTCCTCCTCCTCCTCCTCATCCTCTACCTCCGCCTCCTCCTCCGCCTCCTCGTTGGGGTCGGAGTAGACGGGGTCGGTGGATCGCGCCGCAGCGGCGATGCGGCGCGGTTACTCCGACGCCACCTGCTCGGACCCCAGCCGTGAGGCCTGGATCAAGACCATGAGACCCTCCGCCGGCCAAAGCACGCACACACACAGAGAACATCCGAGGTTGTCCCCCCCCAGGCTTCACACGAGCATCCACCAAGCACGGAGAATAGTAGGTACCCTTCCAGAACCGACTTCGATCTGAAGGACATTCGAGGGTACCCTCTCCAGGTTGCACAAAAAGCATCCAACAGACACGAAGCACCCTCCCCGGGTCGACCTCGGTCTTATACCTGGGCCCGACTGTACTGAGCCTGGTCAATCCAAGCCCAGGTCAGTCGGGCTTTGCAAGATCCTGCAGGATCAAGATCCTGCGCGATGGCCCGGGTCAGCGGGCTATACAGGGTCCTGCATGATCCGGAGCTCTGGCTGACGCCCGTCTGCATTGACCCCCGTCTCACGGCTCCCGACCTCCGAGGTGCGGACGAAACCCGGTCGCGAACGCGGATCACAGCGTGACAGGCCTCGCGCTGGCCGCAAGATGGCCCCAGGATGGCGCAGCATTGCCCAACCCCAAACGATCCTCGCAGACCTCATCGACTACCCAAAGTGGACGAAAAGCCCTCCCAAGGGATACACCAAAACTATCCAAGCCAATCACACAGTGGTGGTGATGTGTTTGGCTGTCTCGCCTCTCCCCCGACGGGCTTCTGAGGCCAAGATCCCCCAAGATCGTCAAAGGTTGATCCAAGATATCCCAGGATAGCCTTAGGTCGGGCATGTCATCCTACAGGCGAATTTTTGGACGACAAATAAAACCTAGTCAAACCGTTTTCAGAAAGCAAAAAACAATAGTCCAAGCATCGCCCCAAGAGTATCATTTTTGACTCCTCCTGTAGAGGGAAATGCCCGACTTAAAGATAGCTCCGAGTCGAGCCCAGACGGGCTCTAAGGAGGCCCAGTGACCCCCAAGAGCGCCTCAGGACCGCCCCAGGAATTCTCAAAAGGGCCGTAAAAGGGCCACATGAGCGACCCGAGGGCGGGGATCAATGGTTGACAAGTCCAATATGGACCCAAGACAGCCCTAAGAGGCCCCCAGATACGCCCAAGGCGACATAATATGGCTTCCGATAATACCCAGCTGCGTCAAAATGCATGCTGCGTTGTTCAAAGGGTGCGGGGCGCTCGCCTTTTCGTCCCCAATCGGCTTCTGACACCGAAGCACGGCTATCAGATCGCCCAAGATAAATCCCAGTGAAGCCCAGAGGGGACCCAAGAGGGGCCAAGTACTTCCGACGGCGCGCCAACCCAGGCCAATCCCAAGAGGCCCCAAGATTGCCCACATGTTGTTAAACTGATCCTCCAAGACAGATCATCATCCTTCCTCTGACACGTCGACGGCAATGACATAACTTCGGGAGGCAGTCATAGCCCAGAACATCTGAAGGCATGCCGAGCGGGATGGGCATCGTTTAACAGACCCCTATCCCCATGAACGTGGCCTGGGTGGGGGTATAGGCCGTGCCCTTCGGGTTCCGAGGTGTGTGTCCCCAACTGGGGTGTTAGGATGCTGAGGGTCTGGATGGGGATGGGGATGGGGATGGGGATGGGGGTTGGTGAAGCGATACCGACGGGAGGACCCATCGAGCGCCGCGGCCCTCCCAGATCGCCACGGAGCCGCTCCGGCTCCACGACGCGCTGCAGCCCGGGGCTCTCCTCTCCCAGGGCGCGCCTGCCTGCTCATCCCGCCCCTGCCCCTCTGACAGGGAAGCTGTCAGGGGGAGCCCAGGCCAGGGGGGTAAACATCGTTCGTTAGGCTCCAAACAATAGGAACCGAGCATCTATACAGGTCCACCTCCTCCCTTCTCCCTCCCCACCTCTTGCTTTGAGGGTGTGCCTGCTTCCTGGGAGGAGGAGGAGGAGGAGGTGGAGAGGGAACAGGGTAGGGCTGCAAAATGGTCGTCCTCCGACACAGCGAATCTGCAGGCTCCTGGGCCGGGTGGGCGATGGTGCGCCTATCGGCGATCAGTGGGCGATTGTGGTCGATACATCCCCCCTACGTCCCTGAGCCTAATATCCTTCGGTCGGGCATGTCCTCCTGCAGGCGGAATTGGTAGAAAGACCAGAAATAACCAAACAATACCCGAAAATGTCAAAACATAAAACAAGTCGTCCCCAGATCATGTTTAGACTATTTTTGAAGATTCCTCATGTAGAGGGACACGGCCGCCTTAAGCCTATCCCCAACCTCACGTGGCCCCTATTCCTCCCTCTCAGACGGACGCTCAGCTGGCCCCACGAGCCCGAGACCCCTCCCCCGAGCCTGAGAGCCCCAGCCGGCCCCCCGCGAGAGCGACGGGGACGTCGGGAACCACGACCACCACAACGGCCACGGCGACGCCGATGCCGACGCCGACGCCGACGCCGACGCCGACGCCGACGACGACGCTGACGACGACGACGACGACGACGACGCCGACGACGACGACGACGACGACGACGACGACGACGACGACGACGACGACGACGACGAACACGCCGACGTTGACGCCGACGCCGACGCCGACGCCGACGCCGACGCCGACGACGACGACGACGACGACGACGACGACGACGACAACAACAACAACGACGACGGCAACAACCACGACGAGCGGCGGCGGCGCGCGACCTCGTGAACCTGCGCGGCGAGCGCCGCGAGGCGGAGGCTCTTCGCGTACGTGGCCTTCTCCTTGAGGGCCTGGCCGCCGCGGAGGGTGGCGACACCAGGGCCAATGCTTGATCGAGAGATCAGGGGATCGAAGAAACCATCCCCCTCCCCCTCCGTCCTCTTGTGCATCCCCTTCGACGCCGACCACGACGCCGACGCCAACGCCGCCGCCGCCGACGGCGCCGACATCAACGGCGATAGCCATGGCTATGGTCGTGCAGCTTACGCGGCCCGCCTCGCCGCGACGCGGCCTGGGAAATAATCAATTAACCGCACAAAAATAACAACTCGGTTTGGCCAACTCTACTCAGCCACAACTGTACCGACCGCGACCGTCAGCCCGAAAATACGGAACACAAAAGCAAGGCAGCCTGCGCCAGACACGACGACGACGGCGACGGCGACGACGACGACGACTGCGACGACGACGGCGATCGCGCACATGGCGACCGCGGGCGCCGCCTTGTAGGCGCTCAAGGCCGGTTTACGCGAGTCGCCGCGGCCGACCTCCAGCGGCGGGAGACGCGCGACGGCGACGGTATCCACTTCTTCATTCTGCCCCTACTCCTTCTCCCCTTTCTCCCCAGCCCTGTCCCGCTCCCCTCCCCTTCTCCTCCTCCTCCTCCTCCTCCTCCTCCTCCTCCTCCTCCTGATGCTGGCAACGGTGTGGAGAGTTGGGAGGACGGCAAATTCGACGGGCCTTTCTGCCAGAACGACCCGCTGGCGCCAAGGAGCAGCAACCAGCTGCCGTCGTAGGAAGGAGGGGAAGGATGCCGCCGTTCTCGTTATCGGTTGGGCACGGAGGACGAGAAAAAGAAGGATGAGGAGGACTCGATGCGACACGAAAACCAGGGCTCGTCCAGCGGTCTCGGCATCGCCTGCGTGCGACGTGCGAGCAGCTTTTCAGGGCGGTGTGGCCAGACGGGGCGCTGCAGTCCCCCAGTTTGGTTGTTTTAGAGCGAGTAGCGATTTTGCACGAAGCTGGGCAGGAAGGAGAATGAGAGGATGGAAGGAAGAAAGAGAATAAGCTAGACGAGAAGGAGGAGGAGGAGGAGTGGAGTGGAGTGGAGTGGAGTGGAGTGGAGTGGAGTGGAGTGGAGTGGAGTGGAGTGGAGTGGAGTGGAGTGGAGTGGAGTGGAGTGGAGTGGAGTGCCAAGACGATCTCTTAAAGGAGGAGGGACAAGTGGGAATGGAGGAGAAAGACTGGACATCGGAATGGAAGGAGTAAATGGGACCAATGACGAAATCGCACAATGGAAGAGAGGGAGGGGGAGGAGGGATGAGGATGGGAGGAGGACCCATCTTATTACTCGCTGCAGAGTTGCAGCTGATGATCCCGCGAACGCGCTCGCGCTGCAGTCGCCACAGGGGAAAGACAAGTCCGCCGACCCTTCGACATGTGTAGGACACTGTCGTCGTCGTCGTCGTCGCTGTCGTCGCCGCCGTCGCCGCTTCGTCGTCGTCGTCGTCGTCGTCGTCGTCGCAAGTCCCAAAGCAATTGAGGAACAAGGGAAAGCGGAAGGTCGTAATGAAAGTCGATCCCCGTCCCTGTTTTCCTTCCCTGACAGGTGGGGTGCGGGGGGGGCGCCCGGTCAGACTCTCGCCCCCCCTCCCCTGGAGTCCCGGCGGGTCCTGGGGCCCCGGGGACCCGGCGGTGCCGGGATGGTCAACAGCGGGGGTCCTGGGAGAGATCCCGCCCGTAGTGGGTGGGGATGCGTCCCAGGTCAGAAAGCCGCCCCCTCGTCCGGGGTCCCCAGGGGTGTCGCCAGCAGGCGTCCCGGGGGAATCCCACCAGCCCTTTGGGCGTGAGCGGTTTAGCGAGCTCTCTCTGTTCTCAACCCCCCTTCTTCCCCTTCGGGGAGGGGTTTACCCCTCCCCCTACCCCCTCCCCCTGGGCCTGGAGAGGGCGTTTCGCGGGTGGTTGGAGGGGTCTTTTTCGACTCCTGGGAGGGCTAAAATTCGACACCCCTCACGAGGATTCTGGCCCCGACGGGGGGGGGGAGAAAAAAATGCTCGCCCCATCTGTGATCGATCGCACGACAGATGGCCCCAAGATTCCTCCCAGACCCCTCCCAAAGAGCCCCAAGAGGCCCCAAGAGGCCTCCAAGAGGCCCCCAAGATGCCCCCAAGAGGCCCCCAAGAGGCCCCAAGAGGCTCCCCCGAGGCACCCAAGACGCTCCTGGAAGCCCCTGGAGCCGCCAAGAGGCCCCCAAGACGCCCCAAACGGCCTCCAAGAGGCTCCCAAGAGGCCCGAAGAGGCTCCCCCAAGGCACCCAAGACGCTCCTAGAAGCCCCTGGGGCCGCCAAGAGGCCCCGAAGACGCCCCAAAAGGCCTCCAAGAGGCTCCCAAAAGACATCTACTACTACTTCTACTACTACTACTACTACTACTACTACTACTACTACTACTACTACTACTACTACTACTACTACTACTACTACTACTACTACTACTACTACTACTACTACTACTACTACTACTACTACTACTACTACTACTACTACTACTACTACTACTACTACTACTACTACTACTACTACTACTACTACTACTCTACTACTACTACTACTACTACTACTACTACTACTACTACTACTACTACTACCCACCACGAGAGCCCGAACGACTCACACCAGGGAGGGGCCCGAACGACTCACACCCAGGGGCCCGAACGACTCACACCAGGACGAGGCGCCCGAACGACTCACACCACGAGGAGCCCGAACGACTCACACCAGGACGAGGGCCCCGAACGACTCACACCACGAGGAGCCCGAACGACTCACACCAAGAGGAGGGGTCCGAACGACTCGCACCAGGACGAGGGGCCCGAACAACTCACACCACGAGAAGCCCGAACGACACACCAGGACGAAGAGCCCGAACGACTCACACCACGAAGAGCACGAACGACTCACACCAAGAAGAAGGGCCCGAACGACTCACACCAGGACGAGAGGCCCGAACGACTCGAAGCACGAGAAGCCCGAACGGCTCACACCAGGACGAGGGGCCCGAACGACTCACACCACGACGAGCCCGAACGACTCACACCAGGAAGAGGGGCCCGAAGGACTCACACCAGGACGATGGGGCCGAACGACTCACACCACGAGGGGCCCCAACGACTCCCACCAGTCGCCGTCGTCGTCGTCGTCGTCGTCGTCGTCGTCGTCGTCGTCGTCGCCGCCGCCTTCGTCGTCGTCGTCGACGACGTCGTCGTCGTCGTCGTCGCGGTTGGGGTCGTCGTCGTCGTTGCGGTCGATATCGTCGTCGTCGTCGGGTGCGTCGTCGTTGTTAGGATCATCGGTGTGGTCGTCGTCTCCGCTAAATCCCTCTTGCCTCCCACCGCTTTCTCTCCCTCCTCCTCCGCCTCGTCCTTCTCCCACTCCCACCACAAGGAGGATGTACAAGGAGGCGGGAGGAAGGAGGAACCGGGGATATATGCGGGGGGAAGCGGACACACGCCTGAAAAACACGACTGTCGGCATGCTTCGCAAGAGTTGCTGTTTTGAGATGGGCTGGTGGGGATACGCGAAGCGTAAAGAATTCCTGCCTGTGGGGGGGAAGGGGGAATGGTCCCGGGTCAGAGTCCCGGGAAGGGGGAGGTCCCGGCGGGTCCCAGGTTCGCCAGCGGGGGTCCCCGGGGAGGTCCCGCCTTCAGAGTCGGCGGCACCGGCCGCAAGGCCTTTACAACAGAAGGAGAAATAGGAGGAGGAGGAGGCGAAGGAAGGAGAAGCAGGGCTCTGCGCTACTGATGCTGAAAAGCATTTGCTCTTCTCGTGCCCCTGGGGACCCATGAGGGCCTCCAGAGGCTTCTGACGGGGATCTCTGGCATGAGGGGAACGAACAATGACATAAACATGAAAACTCGGAGGTCCGCGCGGATAGCTCGGAGCGGCGCTGGACCCCCCTCCCTGGCGTGCGGAGCGAGCAAGGGGCGGCGCTGGTGGCGCCGCCAGGGGGCCTCAGCGCGGATCCGAGAACTCAGCGCGGACCTCCGAGTTTGTATCTTTATGCCACATTTCATCCCCTTCATCTCTGGCATGACACCTGGAGACCTCCAGAGGTTGGAAAAAGTCTCGGCCGTCTCCCTGGGGCCGGTTTACATCACGAGCTCTCCTCTGCCGGGCCTGGAGCCAGGGCCTTTCGACGCCGCTGGCGAGAGACCTTTGGCACGGTGTGTCGAGACTCCAAACGTCTGACCGCCCCCTCCTCCTCTCCCTCCTCCTCCTCCTCCTCCGAAGGTCCTGGGCGTCTGCGGAGGCCACTGCAGAGACTCGCGAGAGGGGCAAGAGGCTGCCAAAAACCTTGCCCTCGATATCTGCGAGAGCCTGACATGCAGAGAAAACCGTTCGGGCCCCGTTGGGCGCTCTGGATCCCCAGACCCCAGGAGGAGGAGGAGAAGTAGGAGGAGGAGGAGGAGGAGGAGGAGGAGGAGGAGGAGGAGAAGGCGGCCGAGGCGGAGGAGGAGGGGGAGCAGGAGGTGCCTTTTCCACAAGGTGGACCCCCAGATCTGGGCTTTCGTCCCGAACTCTCTGATGACATTCTTCGAGCCTGGTAAGGGGCCCACATGGCCAACGGAACTTCTCGTGGCCCTTTCCCGACGCGAGGGGTATGGGAGGTACCAGGAAACATCCAAACACCACGATGGTCACACTCGTGAGGGGCAGCGTGAGGGTAACTGGCTCAGGGGGAGGAGGCATCGAGCTGGAAACGGCGATACCTCGCCGATAGATCGGCGATAGGTCCCCGATGATTCGGGCACCGCCAGAGCACTATCGGCGGGGCGCAGCCGCTGGAAAGCTTCCGCAGCTGAAAGGCCCACGAAAACTGACGAAAAATACTCGAAAGCCTCGAACCTCAAACCCAGCCCCCCAGAGGCTGAACGCTTCCCTTCAGCCTCAACGTTGCCTGCGGGTCACCTCACCCCCCCGAACGCTCCCCCTGAACTCTTACGGATACGACTACGACTACAAGTACTACGATCATAACCTGTGCTACTACTACTACTGCGACGACGACGACGACGACGACGACGACGACTACTACTACTACTACTACTACTGCTACTACTACTACTACTACTACTACTACTACTACTACTACATCTACTACTACTACTACTACTACTACTACTACTACTACTACTACTACTACTACTACTACTACTACTAACTACTACTACTACTACTACTACTACTACTACTACTACTACTACCACTACTTACTACTACTACTACTACTACTACTACTACTACTACTACTACT